AAATATTATATTGTGTTTCAACCAAATGTTCCAAGTCTTTTTCAATTAGAAGCGGTATAAACTACCTTATTACTCCAAAATAATGCAGTACACAAAATATTGTGGAACAATTTTATGTGCTAACAAATTAACGTGAATAGCAAGATTGGATTTTAAAATTTGTGGTATTTAATGGGAATCAATGAAATTCAAATCTTCAAATGGTATTTAATTAAAGCGAATTTTCAATGTCAGCATAATGTTTTTTGCTGAAATATATTCTAATTCAGTGCTGGAAAAAAGTAACAAAAAACTTCAAGTCAAGATGGATTGGAGATTATTAGTAATGTGGGAGGATACTGAAAAATTATCAGTTTTAGTGGCTAAAGTGAAATAGGTCAAGACTCATCTGACCAGCGAGTACATTGATGATTAAAAAATTATAAGCATTGAGCAAGATAGAGATGACGAAGAAAATGCGGAATTTCATTTGAACAGTTAATAATGAGGACATTCGAATGTTAAGATGTAGTTTTGGTTTCCCTTGTACCTTGCTTAAAACTAGAAAAAGGTGTTTTATTTTCAATAGAACTTGTGAAAAGAACACTTTCCAATCCTCTTGTTTTGAATGCTTCCTATCATCCTCGTTTTTTAGATATAGTAATATATTTCAGTTATAAATATAAATTGGTCTATTTTCAGTAGTTTTAAAAAATAATTAGAGTGTGATGAAATGAATGGATTCTTATTTAGCCTTAGACATTCAATAATGGACGCGAAATTTACTGGGACCTTAAATTAAAAGGGTTTTAATTAACATGGTAATTGTCCATTCATACTAATTACGGTACCACATTATTTTCGAGTAATAAGGTATCTTTAAATTTGTTTGGTTAACCTGGCTTTAATATTAACTGTTAGCTTAATTTGGTATGAAAGGAATGATTTAGTTCAGAAATATATTGCGAAAAGAATTGTTTCTGTTAGAAAAACTGGGGATTTCTACATTCTGTATTTACATTGGTTATCAATAATTCTGACATTGAAATGCAAGTTTAGTCATTCCCAATTATAGTTACACCATTTACACCATATGACAACTAAACAGTTGCCTGATGGTTATGTTAAGCATGAAACTCAGAGTAGCAACTTCAACCATCCTGTTCTATACATACAATGCCCTATGACAAAACCTGTTTTAGTTGTCCGGCGGGTAATTGTGGCAGAAATGGAATTTGGGATGTCAAACTCAGTCTCAGAAAGGGGCCAGAAAATAAAGATGGTCTTATTGACAGACCAAAATAACATTGATAATCCTGGAGTTTAGTGACATTAATAAGCCTGGATGACAGCTAACAAGGCAAAATTGTTTTTATGAAATAGGTTCTGCAGGTAAAAGATACTTCAAAGACTTTAGAACAAACACTGCCATGACCTACAGAATCATAGCAGCCAGATGTGGTCTGGGGTGCTTTAATCTACAACTTTAAAATGGAAGGCTAGAAAAAACTAGTCAAATATATTTGAATATTTGGATTAAAGTTTAAATGACTCTGAGCAGCTATGACATGTTGAGCTGAGTGGCTATAACCAAATTTGGCTGTGTGTGTTTGTCATTAGTAAAAAATCATTCCAGCTCTTTCGAGTTATGTTGTTTTTGCATCATCTTATGTTGCTTGAAAGAAGATGTTTTTTTATCTGCTGGCAACAACCTTAAATATACAGTGAATGCTGTCTGTTAAATATTAATTTCCTTTAAATGCTCTTTTGGAAAGCTGACAAGTTGTAGTTCCAACCTCTATAATTTTTAAACTCTTTTTTTCGTTTGAAAAGGATATCTTGCCTGGGTATGACCAATGATACAATTTTGAGGCTGTAAGGAACCAGTCATGGATCGAGGAAGAGAGCGAATAAATTCTCACCAGGTTTTTATGTTTTTATATAATTTTTTGTAAAATGTAAACTTTGAATTTCTTGTCAGAGAAAAAGGTGAACAATTCTCAACTTTGTAATTTTATACTTACTAGAAGAAAAGATGGATGTTATTTTCAGTTTGAGAAAGTTAAGCTTATGCAAGAACTTCTTTTTGTGACTTCAAAAGTTAGGCTATTTTTCCACTTTCTTGTTCGTTTTGTACAAAACCTTTGTCCAATGTTCTTTTAAGCTTCTCCAGTATTATCACAGTTTGTCAGGTCAACCCATGGTCAGGAGGTAGCACTCAACTGAATTTATCAATTGGAACATTGTGGCAACACATTTGATACAGTATATTGATGCTATAGTTTTGAAGAAATCAAGTTTGCAGTTAAAAATGTTTTTAATTGATTTTATTTTTGTTTGTTTTCCATGCAATTTTTTTGTGCAACCTTAAGAAATTTTTCTGTCATCGATTTTTTTACAGTTATCTTTTAGTTAAATTCATAACTATTTTTCACAGGCCCCAGGAATCAGTGATTTTGAGTTGCTGAAGCCAATCAGTAAAGGTGCCTTTGGGTATGTAACTTTCATTTTTATAACCTTCCACTTTGAAGTGTCCTTGTTGGTCCCAAGTTGCTGGTCAATTTGTACTAAAGGGGCTTTTTCTATGGTGATTTCTACTTTTAGCTTCTCCCCACAATTTTTTCAGCCTTGATCCCTTAATTTTATCAGAAAAACAGCACTACCTGCTTTTGTAAGCAAACTTTTAGCAAGCTTGCTTATATAGAATTTATAGCCAGCTGAAGTCCTGATAGTTCCATAAATGCATAGATTTTGGAAAAATGTTTCTACCAAGTCGACACTGTTAGAGCACTTACACCAAATTTCGAGAAATTACTAAGGTATTTCCCCTCATTACAATCAGGGGCGGACATTTGGTCAAATATTGGGGGGGGGCAACTTATTGATCTTTAGTAAGATGACGTCAAATTTCCTATTGTTTTAGAACAAAAGACCATTGTCATCTAAAGTATTGGGGGGCGATCGCCCCCCTCGCCGCCCCAGGTGTCCGCCACTGATTACAATATTGCTAGATGTCAATGTTCTATGATGACTGGTTAAATTCTGATAAACAGGCTGTGTAAAATCCCTCCATGTAGAAATCAATTGACTGGTTTGAAACAACTTGATATTTTTTCATTTCTTTTTACTTTGTTGAAGCTTCTATGAATTTTCTCCGTAGGCATGTTTATCTTGTGCGAAGAAAAGGAACTGATAAAATTTTTGCCATGAAGGCCATGAAAAAGACTGATGTCCTGAATAAGAATATGGTAGAACAAGGTATGTGGTTTACAGTTATTTGAAACATTAACAACTCTCTATCAATGGGAAGGGCATATTAAAAACTAGGGTATATTTAAAGAACAACAAGCTTTGTGACCAAAAACTGGAGATAATTAAATGGAAAAAATATCTTTAATTAAATCGATGAACATTTGCTAATGCAAAGAGCACTCTAAAAAAGTTGCAATTTAATGGCTGCTTTTTCGTAGATCCTACAGTAAAATGGGAGAGCATATTCGACCAGGTCGAGCTTACCGTATTTATTCGAAATAAGCCATGGCTTATGATTACTTTTTGGCACGTTTGCTGTGGTTTATAATCAAGGACGGCTTATAAGCGAGGGCCGCTTACATTGTTTTATCCAGATCCTGCCAAGTTTTCCTGCTACAACCATTGCCAAAAGTACTTGGATCACCCAGCAATTTGCATTGTGTTTTTATATTTTTTCAATTCTTTTCCCGGATACTCATTTTTCCGCACCCCCTTGCCTCCCAAAAAATGTTGATAATTTAGAAAAATATCATAGAAGTCGCAGAAAAAAGCGTTCTTCCTAATCCCCTAAGTTGTTTTGTAGTCGACCAGCATTGTTCAAAGGGGGGAAGGGGAATGGCTGAATTTGCCCTTAGAAACTAACGTTAGTGTACCAAGACTTTTGGCAAGCATTGTACCTTGAAGCTGAGGGTGATAATTTAGAAGACTAAGAAGAAATACTTCTGGGCGCTATTGATGATCCCATGTTGGATGATATTGCTGTTGATTAAACTTCTAATGTCATCCATTTTGTATCCGTCATTTCAGACCAAGTATTTCTACGTGGTTTTCTGAGTGCGGCTTATAAACAAGGGCGGCTTATAATCGAATGAATACGTTACCATCAAAACTTGACTCTAAAGAGAAGGGCTTGTTTTGAGAGGGGGGGGACATTTTTTTGAGCGAGAAAGCGTATTCGAATCATCATGGATCATTCTCTGTATTTATTACCCATTTTTAATCTAGTTTTAATTATTTTCAGTTGTTGCTGAGAGAAATGCGTTGGCTGTGACAAAAAGCCCCTTTGTTGTTCAGCTTTTTTACTCTTTTCAGTCAAAGAATAATTTGTTTCTTGTAAGTCTGTTTTCTGTGTACTGGTTTAACTATCTTTATGGTTAGGTGAAACTAAATAGCTAGAAAAACTCTTTCGTAGAATTTGTCGTACTGTTTGTTATGCCAAGTCTTATTAAAATGTTTTCTCGTTGAAGATTCTGTTTTTATTAGTCGGATTCTGTCAAACTGTTATATTATCTATCAACAACCACAGAAATTGATCCAAAAATCTAATGACGATGCAATATAAAAAAAGATTATAGAGAAAGATTAGCTTTTTCAACGTTATAATCTTCTCTATAGCAAATATAGGTTCGGACGTAAACATAGATAAAAATTTTACTGTTATTCTGAAGCACAAACCAGAACTTGTTAGTTGTTTAATACATGTTTTAATAATTTGTTTCTATGAGACTCTGGATTTTATGCAAGTTTTTTTTGGTTGAAAAATTGCCATCATTTAGGTGCATTGGAGAATTCATACACCCAGCATGGTATTAATGTCATTGTATCTTGGTGCGGTTAGCTGTATAACGCATAATTGTTCATACTTTAAC